TGCTAATAAATCTTACACATTCTATATCTGTACTGCAATCGACCTAATGAGATTTCAAAAATACTCTTGTTTTCCAGCTAATCTTACAAAATCTACATTATTCTACTTCAATTCTGATCAAAAATTTCAACAACAAACAGGAGTAGAAATTAGACATTCAGACTTCAAGTATCTGGGCATTCTCTTAACAAAAGACTGAAATCAGATAATTAGGATAAATTATCTACAGGCATTTTATTTGGCCAATTGACGCAAAAGTTGAATACAAGATCAGATTTGAAATTATCAATGTTAGTTAGGGAAGATTGCAGCAGCGTCAATGCATATGCTTTCAAAATTACCATATCTGTTGCAAAATATTCCTCTAACAATGTTCTAGCAAATTCTCTGAAATTTATAATTAACTGACAAATATTTTACAGGTGGGGAAGAGAAATCATTTTTTAAAGAAGTGCAATATAATTCAGGTGGGTTAGTGATACTTAACTTTAAAATTTCATCATTTTGGCTATGGTATTTGAATCACTATGCTTTGGCTTAATAAGTGAAATTAGAAATGGAAAGTGATGAAGGATAGAATGAGATAATAGCCATATTTACTCGAGTCTAATGCACCATTGAAGGTAATGCACACCTCAGTTTTCAAACCTCAAAAAGTACTTACCATATTATGCGAATCTAATGCGCACCATATTTTGGGAAGGTAATTTAGTCAAAAAAAGGTGAGCATTAGAATCAAGAATATATGGTACTTTATTTAGGTCTTAATGTTGCTCTGCTAAATATGGTAGCCTCACTATGCCCTTCTTTAAAAACCTTCTACGTGTTTGACGAAAATGGAGAAAATATCTGGCTCCAGAGCCCTCTCCTATTTGCCCATTATTTTATCACTCTAACTTTACCTTCAATGATTGAACATAGCCATTTAGGCATTATGAGATCCCATGTAAAGTCCTTTAGATCCATGATGGAACAGCAGCAGTTCTGACAGTTTATGTCATACCCCCTCACACCAAACATAACTGAACACAGACCATCCTTGTTCTAAAACAGGGATGTCAAATGGGTTGTAGGTTTTTTGGGGGCTTTATGGCCATGTTCTAGAAGCATTCTCTCCTGATGTTTTGCCTGCATCTGTGTCAAGTATCCTCAGAGGTTGTGAGGAGTTTACGTTGGGTACCTCACAATCTTTGAGGAGGCTTGCCACAGATACAGGTGAAACACCAGGAGAGAATGCTTCTGGAACATGGCCATACAGCCCAAAAGATCTGCAACAACCCAGTGATTCTGGTCATGAAAGCCTTCGACAATACAGGGGTATCAAACTCATTTTCATTGAGGACCACATGAGCCTTATGGCCACTGAGGACCGCATCAGCCTTGAAATGGCCATTGAATCCATGAGCAGAGAATCCGTGGATACAGAGGATCAGCAATTACATTTTTTACATAGTGATTGGTGCTCTTTAGTTTTTACTTCATTTAGGTCCCCAGATGTTATTGAATGACAATTCCTATGATTTTTTAAAATTATCTGCCACATGGACTTGGAATTCTAATCCAACAGCATTTCTTAGGTTGGGAAAAGGTTAAAGGACATTTTAAAGTCAGACATCATATCCACAAGCCTTGTATCTAAATTCAAACAGCACTTTCCTGGTTAAATGGAACAAACTGCAGATGGCATTGCTCTACTCATGATGACTAATGACTCTACAGATGTAGTCCAGCAACTGGATAGGCACATAAAATAGTATGGTGGGCTGGATTTGGCCCATGGCCCTTGAGAACACACATCTTCTAAAACAATGTAGGAGCAAATGGAGAGCCATATGGTTCACAGACACTAATTGCAAGAGTTGAACAGAGAAATGCCAGTTGCTTGTTGTATAGCCTCCTTTCCTTACCTCCATGACTGTTGGGGAAAACAATGGTAGAGAATCAGGTTATGTGACATGTGTTTTTCTATTATACAGGCAGTCCCCAAGTTATGAAGAAGATAGGTTCTGTAGGTTTGTTCATAAATTGAATTTGTATGGAAGTTGGAACAGGTATATTTTTTAGTATAACTCCAGCTATAAAAGCATAGCACACGGAAGGGTTAACACCTGTTAGCACCTGTGTTGTGTTTGTTTTGCTGTCTGTGTCCCTGTTCAGAAGGTTTCATCTTTCTGTCCCTGAGATAATTGATGTTGGATTGTTGCGGGGACTGGGACAGGATGGGAGAAAGAGGGGTGGGGGGAAGAGGCCAGGGGCAGTTGGCAGAGGGTGGGATGGGGAGGGTTGCCTGCCATGAGGAAGTCTCGACACACGGTGATCTGGGAGGGCCCTTCTCTCAGCATGAGAATGTGGTGGGCCGCCCCGTCCTCCTGTCAACAGGAGAGGTGACACACAACTGGATCCAGGGACCGGGGCTGGAGGAAAGAGCCCAAGAGGCTGCATCTGGCCTGCGGGCCTGGGATTGCCCATACTTGATCTACACCACATAATTAATGCAATTTGACACCAATGTAACTGCCAAGGCTCAATGCCATGGAATTCTGGGAGTTATAGTTTGGTGAGAAATTAGCACATGCTGGCAGAGAAAGTTAATGATCTGATAATTGTACAGTGTAGATGTACTCTGTTGAATTTCTTTGTTTTGTCTTCTTCTGTTGTCTTTATGGCTACAATAGAATTTCTAGTTTGTACAGCAGCACAGCTCCGTGTTGATTCTCTCTCTGCCGTGTCCTACACACATAGGCTACCAGGGTTGTGCCTGATAGATGAATTAGGACTGGGCCATGAGAGTCCAACCCGGTTCTTTCCAGAAGGGAAAGAAAGCACAGTTTTGAAGAGGTGTCTGGAACATACGAGGGTTGAATGAAAAGTAATGCCTCCACCTTCATTGCTTGGGTTTGGATGGGAATATTTTAATAAATCAAACGCCGAAATAATCCTTAGAATGTGCTCTTTAAATACCACTATTCACTTTTCCACATAATCACCAGGCAATTGGATACATTTCTGCCAACAATGAACAAGTTTTCTGAAGCCATCACAGAAGAAGTCGATACTCTGTTCCTGCCACCCATCGTGCACAGATCTTCCGATAGCCAAGGAAAGCAATAATGTGACCCACACGTTCTTGTGGAATGCTGATTATGTTTGAAATTTCTCTCTGAGTGATACAACGATCGTCCTGAATCAATCTGTCAACCTTTTACTTGTGAAACTCAGTGGTTGCTGTCACAGAACGTCCAACTCTTCGTTTGTCACGCAAGTCAGATGTTCCCACCTCAACATCTTTAAACTTTCTCGCCCAATGACACACAGTACTCACATCAACACAATCATCATAAACAGCTTGCATTCTCTGATTAATCTCCTTTGGGGTGACACCTTCAATGACTGCACGTTGCTTAAATCGCATTGACTGACCATCTGCGCAGGGTTCCATACTTCACACTTTAATAACACAACAGTTCAATGCTAAGGCTTCCCACCAAAACGGAACTGTAAAGGAGAGTCTACTGAACAAGCCAGTACCCGCCGCATACCAGTACTGCCATCTGTTGAGGAGTTATGAAGGTGGAGGCATTACTTTTCATTCAACCCTCATAATTGCCATTATGGTGATACAATTGTCTCTTGGCTATACCACTTCAGAAAGCAGATGTGGAATGTGCATGAGAATGTTCTGTCATATGAAAGCATACCTTATATAGTGGGCCTTTAGTATCTGCAGGAATTTGGTTCTAGGACCTTCTGTTAATACCAAAATCCAGGGATGCTCAAGTCCCATTATATACATTGCTTTACCTTATATAAAATGGCAAAATCATAGTTTGCTTTGGGTTTTTTTGGGGAGTTGTTGTTTTAAAATATTTTCATACCATAGATGGTTGAATCTGTGGGCACAGATCCCTTGGATATAGGGAGCACACCGTTTATAGAAGAACAACTATTCTTGGAAAGAATTCTTGCCTAACCTCCTTTCTCACCTCTACTTTTCACTACACATGTGGGTTGCTTTTAAATCAAGGAGCCCCTGAAAATGACCTGTGGTCCCCTAGGTGTTTGGGCTTTTAACTCCCAGAAGTCTTAGCCAACTTGTCAGGAATTCTGGGAACTGAAGTCCAAAACACCTGGAAGGCCATAGGCTGCATGCTATCCTTATTTTTAGTTGTGTATCCTTCAGAATGACAGCATGAAGTTTTGTGTTATTATAGGAGCCAAATACAGCCCCATTTTCAGCATGCACAGCAACAGTTGCATTGTGCTTCAGACTGTTATTATTTGTTTAGTGGGAAATTAAAGGCTTCCCTCACACTTTGCTTTGGATTTATCTCAAAGCTTTACCTTTTAAGGTTGGATTGCAATGTGGTGCCCAAATATTTTGCTCTTCATGAGGTATGGGTCAGGTAGGTTTGCTTTGTGTCATGAATCCAATGACGATCTGAAGATAACCAGCTAGCACTGGGACAGTTGGGTGACTTGTATAAGGAAATCATTTATGATAACCTTGTTTGCTAGAAAAAAAGTGCAACAGTGCCTGATGGATTGGAGATTTTCAGCATTCTTTGTGGTCAGTACAGGATATTCCACTCACTTGTTAAACATGAGCTGATGCTAATTCTTGTACTAGAAAAAGGGCTTATTTCTCGACATTCTTCATAACCATGATGTTCAGAAAGCAATATTAAAAAAAATTAAAATATTATACATTGGAATATAATTAGGATTCTTCAGAATTAGCATGCCATAGTTTAACTTATATGTTTGGTTTGTACGTTTCCAAGTTTTCCCATAATTTCCATTATTTTTTAATTTAGTGATACTGTGGTGAAGATGAAAAATACCAATAACTGGCAGCAATTGCGAAGGTGTAGGCATATGACATTAGAGACCTTAGGGTAAGGTAACTTTAGAAAACACAAAACTCCAGAGCTAAGTGATACTGGGCCTTTTGGGTGATTTTTTTGTATGGAAAAATGTATTTTCAATTGTAACTCTGCTACTATGATGAATAAAATCTTGCTTTATTTGACAATGAAATTTAGGACTGATATCACATTTTCCAGTGAACTTTTAGCTGGTTGGATTATGATGATTTATATCTCAACGCAGCAGAAGATAGAAAAAAAATGAAGTTTACAACCTGCAACGAAAAATAGGAAGTCTCATTCATCTACTCACTTAATTTGCTAACCAGAACCTGCCATGAGGTATGAATCGTATATATGAACATTTGTCTCTGCGGAATACACCATACAACCATGATGGGCCTTTTTTTAAATATCCGGACTACTATATTTCTGCAATGAATATCCCATATAAAATCTGAAAAGGGACCTTATTCATATATTTTATTCCCATGGCTGGTTTTCAGTCTATACATGATGAAATCCCTGCATTTTGTTTTCCCCAAAGAGAAATTTATTCCATATTACTTTCCATTATGCATCACACTATCACTCAGACTGTTTTCCCTTAATGTTAATTTGGGGTTAATGCCATTCGCAAATTTCTTCAGAGATAGTAGATAAGATTTCTTTTTATTACAAATTCCACTAAGATTCAACCAGTTGTATTAATGAATGTGTGCATGCACTTTTAGGACATATCCTATATATATAGTTATTGTTAACTGCTATCAAGTCGACTTCAACTTACGTTGACCCTATGAATGAGAGACCTCCAAGTCACCCTATCATTGGTAGGATATATATTGATATATGACTAAACACACATACACACATGCGCGCACACACAATATAGTGGTTAACACCTTATATTCTCACAATATACCTTCAACAACAAAATCTTCAATTGCACCCACTGAAATGATGTCAGCATTAGCTGAGAGACTTGTGTCTTTTTCACAGTTATACTGCGACCTGTCGTCTTCTTGATCGTGAATATCACAAGGTTGATTGTCTGGAGACTGGTCTGCTAGTTGCCACTCTAAAGTCGGTTTCAGAAGTGTTCCTTGTAAAGATGAAGCAGTTTCAGAAAGCTGAGATGGAGATGCCAGAACTGGAACAGACGAAACTCTGAGAGGGAGAGCGTTGGGGTACAAGGCATGAGGAGAAGAGAGGATCTCTGAAGTGGGTGTTTGAGACAAGTTCCTTTTTGAAGAAGGAATTGACAACTGAATGTATTTGCCACTTTCAGGGTCATAAAACGTCTTTAATTGAACTGGCAAATCTATTATAAAATATTCTCCTGAGTCTGGATCCTGAAGGAGTTTACGTTGGGTTGCAGGTAAAGAAGGTGCAGGACTTAATGATATGGCAGGCTGGTGTTCCAGGTTAGATTCTGAAGGAGTCAGAAGAGACCTGGGAGAGAGTGGAGACTCAACAAGGGGCAAGTGTGCAGTGTCTTCACAGGGTGGAGTAGGTTCATCTTGAAGCCTTTTTGGTTGTGAGACTGCTTTCTTCCTCTTGTTTGCTAGTTTCTTTGCTCTTCGCAATGCTTTTTCTGTTTTTGGTGGTACAGCTGGAGGCTTGGCTGCTGTCTTTGCCATTTGTCCCATCAGCTGCAGTTTTCCATTTGTCACCGGAGAATTGCGAGCATCTTCAGAGTGTTGACTTCTCTGGACTGGATTAAATGTTTCCGTGGGAGAAGGCTGCTCTCTACTCTCTGTTGCTTTGTGTAGCAAAGAAGTATTTGTTATTTTTTCAGCATCTGATGCATTGAAAACTGCCCCTGAACCTGTCAATGGACTTGTGAACGAATGTGATACCATGCTATCTGACCTTGGATTTGGCTGTGTACAATTTGACAGGCTGCCTGTTGCAGCTGTTACGTCTTCAATTGTATCACTGAGACCAGGAAATGATGCTGGGCTCTCTGAAACACTAGGAGATTTTGTCTCCTGACTGATTATTTTTTTCACACAAGAGCCACCTCTGCGTTTAGGAATTAGGTGGTTCTTTTCTCTTGTTGGAGAAGTTTGCTTGTTTTTTGCTAGCTCCCTTTCAATACTAAGGTTTGGCTGACTAGTCGGACTGAGCTTCAGTTCTGCAGCTCTGACCTTTTCTCTGACCAAATTTTCACTGCTTTTCACATTTTTGCCAGATAGCACTGATGTAGTCTGAGCTCCTTCATCATCATTATTATCATCATCTTTCACTAGCGATATGATGCTTCCTAGTCCTTCTGTATGAGTATATTCTGTTGTTGGGTTGTTCTCTTTTCCAGTAGCCTCTGCTTTGTGCTGGCTTCTCATTCTGGAAAAAGACAAGCCCACCTCTTCAGTATTCATTATCATTTGCCTTGGCCCATATTGTTTTTCAGTCTCACTATAACTACCAGCAATGGGCTCTTGACAGGAAAAAGACCTGTGCAGAGGCAATCTGATAGTTTTTATCACAGGTGGTGACTTGAATGTGTTGTCTTTGATCATGAATAAATTGGGCTTGAATGAATTGGGCAAAATTGGTGTCAGAGGCTCTTCTGACTTGCTTTCTGATGCAGAATCCACGATTTTCCCTCTGTCTTCTTTCTTCTCCTTCCCCATTCTTTCTTGTGCTGTGCTTCCATTTTCACTTTGCTCTTTTTTCCTTTTGCCCTTCCCATCCACATTAGAGTTGTCATTGCTAAGGAAGTAATGCAATTCTTTCCTCCTTTCTGTCTCTGTTCCTTTACAATTGGGCATTTCCTCCACACCAACGTCAGACTTCTTTCTTTGGCTTTCTTGAAGACATGCTTTATGAAAGAGCTGCAATAAAGAACTGTTTGTCTCATTAAATGGTTGGTCTGTTATGGATATGAAAGATTGCTCAGAAGAGCTGGTGCTTCTTTTGCCTTTCTGTTCAGTCCCATTTAGTGGACAGGCCTGACTGTCCGTGTTAACAATATTTTCTTCAGCTGTAAAATATTGATTTGGGGATGCTGGAGATCCGACATTAGAACTGTGACATGGTACACCTTTTTCTTTTTTAGGGTCTTGCAAATAAAGACTGTTCACATGCTGCTCAGATACATCAAGTGAACAACTGGATGAAGGAGAATATTGCCTGAAACTGTGTTTAATTGGGGGCAGTGCAGTTGCAGAAACCATCTTAAAGTCCTCTATATCTGCTGAAGTACATTGTCTTAAATTATCCCTGTTTTGGTAATTTAAAGAATCTGCCTTTGATTTGGATGCAGTTGCGGTAAGATAATTTTCATTTACATCAGCAGCAATGCTGTTTTCCATGGTATTGTCCATTTGTTCTTTATCACTGTCATCTATTAATTTTTTACTGTCTTCTTGTACCATACCAATTGCTGTAACACTTGATTTTATGTTGTGTTCTTTAATCTTTTCGTCTTCTTCAAGGGCTCTTGGCAGAGGAGAGGGACTGTAAGTACTTTTCACTCGCTTTCGGATGTCTTTTAAGTTGAATAATAATCGTGATGCTTTAGATTTATAATCGTTCTGAGAACAGTAAAGGTTTCCCCCCTCAATATCTTTGATTCTTCTAGTGTCGGATATGGGATGAGTTACCGGTAACAACTGGCTTTCTACTTCATTTCTCTCTTGAGGTATAATTGGAGTTAAAAGTTTTGAGATGTTGAAAGAAGTACTGGAGGGAATAGACACAGATTTGGGTGACTCAGTTAAAAGACTGAGATCAGATTGCTTTCCATATAATGAATCCTTTCTTTTGGGCATATCACAGGCAATATTCTGAACCGGTTCCATTTTCCCAAGGGTAAGCTTTTGTTTCCTCCAGGGTGGACAAATATTTTCCAGTTCTGAATTATTACCCTTCTCTGGTACAGAAGTAACATGTGGCGCCAGTATTTGTGCATCAGTGCCACAGGGCGCCATTACTGGTGGAACAGAGATCTGGGACAGAGAAGGTGAAATAGGAACCTTGGATAGTGGTGCTGGTAAAACATCAATCTGGGAGGTCAGTGGTGGTGTAAAAGGATCTTCAGATGTGTGGGACGGTGGTGTAGGAATCTTGCATACAACTGCTGACAGAGTGGAGACTTGGGGTAACAAGACCTTTGAAACAGTGTCTTCATGTATGGGCAAAGATATCTGGGGTAGAGCTGCTGAAGAGAAAGAGGCTTCAGATTTTTCTGAAAGGACATCTGAAAAATCTTGTTCCAGAATCCCAGTAACTGTGATATCATCAGGAGATACATTTCTTTTAGAAGTACAAGATTCGTTAAGGAACGGTGTTCCTCCAAATGTAAGATTGTGCCCTTTGGGCTTAATTTCAGAAGAGTCGCCCATTTCAGACAAGTTTTTGTGATGAGCATTCCATGATTCAAACGCACTGTTTTCACTGTGGAGAAATCTGCCTTTCCTTGCTGGTTCTTTTGCTCTGCCTGTTCTGTTTTTCACTGCCTTTTTAGAGACATTGGAGATTTTAGACTTACAGGCATCTGCCTGAGAAAAATGAAAACTATATGGACCTTGACAGATCAGATCCATTTTGCTATGTCTCTTGTGCAACTCATCTCGGTCACTTCCATTTGCCATATCTTGGGATGTGTCAGAAAATTCAGAGAGTTCCTTTTGAATATTTAGAATTGTTTTGCTGCCCAAGGAAGTGATATTGCGTCCAAAAATTAATGGGCCCTTTTTCAAACTATTTTTATCTGGGTGTTCAGTGAGTGCTAATGAGGCTTCATCTTCAGCTTTATCAAATGTTTTTATCAGAGAGGACACTTTTGAGGTATGTTTATAATTGCACAGCCCAGACACTGGTAAACTCATTTTTCCCCTTGTGTTTGTAGAAGCCTTTTTATTTTCGTTAGAGTTTTTGGGAAACTGCTGGAATGTTGAATGCTCCTCAGCTTTTGACAATTGCTTGCGAGACACAGTTTTCTCATTATGTGGACCTTGTAACAATTTGCTAGATAACTGGTGGGTGATGTTGGATGGCACAGCTGGATCAGAATCTGTGTAAGATGCTTCAAGCTCAGCCACGCACAGACTTCTGAAGGCTCGATCCGTGAGACTGCAAACCTCTCGGTCTGTGTCATCTAGCAGACTCCCGATGCTGGAGGAGTCACTTTGTCCATCTGACTGTTTCTTATTCTCCTGCATTTTTCATATGAGTCAGAAATAAAATAATCACACTAATAATTTCATATATAAAACAGGTAGGTGATTTCTTTTGGTTACTGTTTCTTATCCATTTGCAACATCTTTGGATGAATTTCTCCTCTAGAATGTGCAGTTTTATATTCATTTGCCTTATGGAAACTGGGACTTTCTGCTCTGCAAATTGAAGATATAGAAGATATTATTATTGTCAGCAGAGAATACACTTGCAAATTAACCTTTTCTCTTTAATTACCATTGCCCACCAGTTTAATGTCGTTGTGATATTTTCTAAGTAAAGGAAAGAAATAAGAACACATCTCATGTATTACATTGTCAGATTTCTTCAATTGTAAGACACTACTGATTGTAAAATGCACCCTAATTCCAGTACATAAGAAACACCTGCGATTCTAAGATGCACACCATTTTTAGAGATGTTTATCTATGAAAAACTGAATCTTAAAATCGAAGAAATATTTTTCGTTAAGATTTTAGTCTTATTCATATTCATTTTAAATCCTGCTACTTTTCCAAACTCTTCTATTTTCTGAATCCAATTTAGTAGATTATTACATGGGTCTTCCACTATTCCGATCATGTCATCTGCAAAAGCCCATATTTTATACTCACGTTTGCATACTTTAGATCCTTTTATATTTTGGTCTTCTCTTATACCTTTCATTAGTAACTCCAATGCCATTATAAAAATTAACGGAGACAATGGGCAGCCTTGACGTGTTCCTCTTCTGTTGTTTGGCCATTTACTATAATCTTAGCTTTTTGGGAGTTGTAAATGGAATTTATTGTGTTATTAAATTCAGAGGTGGCTCTAGGTAATTTTCAACAGTAAGCAAACAGTATTTTAGCACCCCCCCCAAACAATTATTGATATATATTTTCTGTTCGTCATGGGAGTTCTGTGTCCCATATTTGGTTCAATTCCATCATTGGTGGAGTTCAGAATGCTCTTTGATTTTAGGTGAACTATACATCCCAGTAACTACAACTCGCATATGTCAAGGTCTATTTTCCCCCAAGAGCGCCCCTGGGCAAAATCAACTATACTGCGAATGCTTACTTTGCGTAATGGGTTGAGCCGCCCCTGATTAAATTTGAAATCTATATCTAATTCTTGTATTAATATTTTGAAAAATTCCTAATTTAAATTATCAAAAGCTTTTTCTGTGTCGACCGCTAATATAGCCAATTCCTTCTGGTGATTTAGTTCATAATATTCTAACAAATCCAATACCATCCGAATATTGTCCTTCATATTTCTGTTTGGGCGGAAACCTGTTTGTTCCTCCCCTATCCAATTCCTCAGAAAGTATTTCAATCTTTTCGCCATAATATTTGAAAAAAAATTGTAATCTGTTTTGAGCAGTGAAATTGGTCGATAGTTTTTTTTGTCTGTTTCATCCCTGTCCTCTTTATATATCATTATTATTTCTGCCACTCTCCAAGTGTTAGGAATTATTTGGTGTGTCATAGCCTCATTTAATTCTCTTTTCAATAGTGGAATTAAAACTTGCTTCATAGATTTATAGAAACCTGCCGTAAATTGGTCGAGGCCCGGAGCTTTATCAGAGTACATGCTATTTATGGTCTTTTCTATTTCTTCCTCTGTTATTTCTTATTTAGTTTTTCTCTAGTTTCTTCTTTAATTTTCTGAAATTTAAAGTGGCCTATGTAGTCCATTATTTCTTCTTTGGATATTTGATCCTTAGTATATAATTGTTTATAAAATTTCCTAAATTCTTCCAAAATTTCCTTATCAATCGTTATTTCCTTACTGCCCGTTTTTATTTTTGTTATTTGTTGAGCTTGTTTCTTTTTCCGGACCTGTCTTGATAGCCATTTTCCTGGCTTATTAGCATTTTCAAATGACTGCTGTTTCAAGAATTTCAGCTGTCTAGCCTGGTACTCTAATTCTAAATGATTTTTTTCCTGATGTAATGCTCTTATCTCTCTATTTAGTATTTTATTTTCTGGGCTCTTTTTTGCTTCCTTTTCCTTCATTTCAATCTTAATCTCTATGTCTTTCATTTCCCTATTCCTCTTCCTGGTTTTTTTTTTTTTTTTTTTGTGCTATGCTGTATTAAATGGCCCCTAAGAACTGCTTTAAGTGCGTCCCAGACTACCTGGGGTTTTATTTCTGTTGTATCATTCACTATTATGTATTCTTGGATTATTTTTCTGTAACAATTTTTATCTTCCTCTGTTTTTAGTAGATTTTTTGTTAAGTCTCAATTTTCTATATTGATTCTTTTGATTGATTATTATTTCTAGGCAGCAATGGTCTGACATGTCCCTAGATAATATCAGAAATTCTTGTAGCTAATATTTTCGTTAGCCACGCCATAACAATATAGACCCATTGATGAATACACTAAAATAGATATATAACAGAGGGCATATATATAAAACAGAGTAAGAATGTAGCATGTACCTAGGTTTTCCTAATCATGCATTATTTTGGTTAGCCTTAAGGCATAAAGCATGGAATTATATGGTGTCTGCAAATTCTATGTTTATACATATTTGTGTGCAAAGTAAACAAGGGTAGGCAAGCTGTAGTCCATGGGCCACATGGAGAGGTAAAAAAAGAAGGGGGCACTCCAAAAGGCCCCAAAACATCTTTACTACAGTAGAGTCTCACTTATCCAACCTTCACTCATCCAACGTTCTGTATTATCCAATGCAGACTGCTTCCCACCCGGATCCACAGTTGTTTCAATACATTGCAATGTTTTGGTGCTAAATTCATAAATATAGTAATTACTACATAACTTTACAGTGTACTGAATTGCTTTTTCTGTTGATTTGTTGTAAAACATGATGTTTTGATACTTAATTTGTAAAATCATAACGTAATTTGACATGTAATGACTTTTCTTTGATCCCTCCTTATTATCCAACATGTTTGCTTATCCAACGTTCTGCCAGCCACTTTATGTTGAATAAGCAAGATTCTATTGTACTTTGTTTTGCACAGAATATTGTCTGTAAAATCGATTGTAATAGCAAACCTACTGGTTCACGTTCCCCCGAATCAGATCATTAGAGGGCAGCATTCTTTGTGTGTGGGGTGGGGGGTGGGGTGGGGGTGGGGGGTGGGGGTTATTTTTATGGTAGTAGCTGTTTGTTGTTTTTTTTTTGTTATATTGTTTATCCAAATCCATGCTGCAACTGCACAATTTTGAGTGAAGGAATTATGGTGGCTAAGAAAGCCAAATTAAATCATACTACATCTAAGAAAACCACAATCTTTTACATGTTTTCTCAAGGTGAATGAAATGGGGAATAGGGGAAACAGAATTCACCTCTCATTTATAGATATCTATAAAACACCTGTTCAATGTAAGTCAATAAAATACCTGTTCAATATAACTACACCATCCTCAGTCTAATCTCTGTGATTCTAGTTATAATTTTTTTTTTTTAAAAAAAATCGACATTATGTTGATAACTCACCCAGTATATTAATTGATGCTTTGAAGGCCCACATTCTGGTCTTCCCTTGTTCATATTTGCCCCACTGCAGACCACCTTCAAAGGCAAATTGAAAATATTTAAGTGAAGTATTTTCAGAATGCAGAATTCCTCATGTGTCCAGAGGAGGGCGACTAAAATGATCAAGGGTCTGGAGAACAAGCCCTTTGAGGAGCGGCTTAAAGAGCTGGGCATGCTTAGCCTGAAAAAGAGAAGTCTGAGAAGAGACATGGTAGCCATGTATAAATATGTGAGAGGAAGTCATAGGGAGGAGGGAGGGAGCTTGTTTTCTGCTGCCCTGGAGACTAGGACGCGGAACAATGGCTTCAAACTGCAAGAAAGGAGATTCCACCTGAACATGAGGAAGAACTTCCTGACTGTGAGAGCTGTTCAGCAGTGGAACTCTCTGCTCCAGAGTGTGGTGGAGGCTCCTTCTTTGGAAGCTTTTAAACAGAGGCTGGATGGCCATCTGTCAGGGATGCTTTGAATGCAATTTTCCTGCTTCTTGGCAGGGGGTTGGACTGGATGACCCATGAGATCTCTTCCAACTCTATGATTCTATGTTTCCTCCCTATGCAAATTGGTTTTTAAAAGAGGTATTTGTAAAATAGTGAGTATTGCTTGTTTTTGCAGGGGTTCACCCTTATTATCTTTTGTCAGTTTTGCTTGCTGATTTACTTGTCAAAAGCCAATCAATAACATGCTATGAATATCTCTGGTGCTCATAGGGCTTTATCACACTGGATAAGCAAAGCATTTGGGACCGTTGGTTTTAATCTAATTTTTCAAGTAAACAGGTTTATTGAAGTATGGGTTGACACTGTAATCCTGTATCATGCTGTGTATGTTCAGCCTGGTGAAGAGAAGATTGAGAGGAGACATGATCGCACTCTTTAAATATTTCAAGGGTTGGCACAAAGGGCACATCTACACTGACCATTTAGTGCAAAGAGCATCCAAATAATCTCCGTAGCGACCATACTATACATGGAGTTGATCCAGTTGAATGCGGGTCAAAATTATTTAATGAAGTCAAAGCCTTCACTTTGGGTCCATGTAAACAGTTGGGCTCCAACTATTTATCTGGTCATCCCATGTTTGCTGGGCTCTGAAAGCGCAGAGACATGGGATGGCACTCGCTGTCCTTTCCTATTCTCCTTGTTGCAGCAGTCTCCAAGCGTGACATAGGTCCTGCCAGTCATTTGTTGCCTGGAGTGACATCAGTTGGAGTGAGGAGGCAATTGGCACCTATGCCAGGAAATGACCAACTCTCATGCCTGGAGACTGCTGCATTCAGGAGAAAGTGGGGTGGTAAGAACAGGAGTCCAGAGCTGCGGATATGGGTTTAGCTTTCCCTCCCATCTTTATAGCAGCTGGGGGAGGCTGGGTGTGTAACCCAACCTGCGATCGATCCAGTAGACGCCATGCTGGATCAGTCCCGGCATAAGAGGTCAGTGTAGATCTGCCCAAAGAAGACGGTAAAGGCTTGCTCTTTGCTGCCTCAGGGGGAGAGAAGTTTCTAATGGTTTTAAGCTGCAGAAGGATGGATTACAATTGAACATTAGAATAAACGTTTTGACGGTGAGAGCAGTTCAGCAATGGAATCAATTATTGAGAAAATTGTTATGTCTCCTTCTTTGAGCATCTTCAAAAAGAAGCTGGACCTGCTGGAGATGTTCTGGCTGGAAATCCTGCACTGAGTGGCAGGGAGGGGTGGCTCAAAGACCATAAGGGACCTTCCAACTGTGTGATTCTGTTATTTTCTTTTGGTAGGTGGTCATTGAAACCAATACAGGTTGTCTATCTCTTATCAGAAATGTTTTGGATTTTATTTTATTGGAGGGATTGCAATACCTGTATTTGCAGATACATACATAGCAATATATCTTGGAATGGCAGCCAAGTCTAAACACAAAATTCATGTTTCATGTATACCCTATACACATTGCCCAAAGGTAAATCTATATACAATATATTTTTTAAATAATTTTGTGAAATGAACAAAGTTTGTGTACATTGAATCATCAGAAAGAAAATATGTTGTGATGTCAGCCACTCCTGTGTGAACAATTTGGTTTTTGAGGCATTTTGGCTTTTGGAATTCTGGACAAGGCATGCTTGACCTATATAGTGAATTTGGTATAATGAAGAGCAATGCAGCAAAAACAGAAGTGGCAGTCAGTATGTCCCATTCCGGTGGACACTGGGATTCTTGTTGGAGATCAGGAAATACAATAATGTGTGTATTCTCACATCCCAGGAGATTGAACTGAATGGCCCTTGTTGGCTCTTCCTACTCCAAGATTCTATGTTCCATGTTAATTTTATATCTGGTTTTCTCCAATATAGAACACAAGGTGGTGCACAACATCTTAAAAACACAGTACACTTAAAATAGATAAGCATAATATAAAAAAGTTAAATGCAATTAAACAAACGTTGATTTTAAAATACAGGTGAAAAATATAAGTCTCTGAACACTTTTCAAAGGTAGCCCCACATAAAACATGTTACAATAATCCTACTGGGGTGTAACAAAGACATTGTCTCTATGGCTAGATCTGACTTCTCAAGGAATGGGCACAGCTGGCACATAAGCTTTTGCTGTGCCAAAGCATTCCTTGCCATTGCAGAAAACCGGGCTTCCAGACTCAGAGTTGAATACAAGAACACATGCAATCAGTGAAGCTATGACTTTGGGAGGAATGTACCACTGAAATAGGATGAATCCCTATTTCCTGATCTGTCTTTCAATTGACAAGGAACAAATCTATTCTGTGAAGATGCCAGTCACAGATGCAAGTGAAACGTCAGGAGAAAATGCTGCTAGAACACAGCCATACAGCACGGAATCTACACAACACCCCATTTCTATCTTGTCTGGATTAATTTCTTTACTCACTACCAGTCTATTATTGATGATCGGACGAAGACAGCTTCCTTGGCTTCTGATGAAAAGAAATAATAAAGTCGGTTGTCATTTTCGTAGCGATGGTACCAAATTGGATGACCTCTTCCAGCAGTTTATATATATATATGTTAAATAGCATGGGAGGGGACAACCAAGGAAGGAATGAAGCCACTATAAAACAGTTTCCCCAATTCCCATCCCAGCAACATAACCCAAGAAAGGAAATTATGGTTGATAATATTGAAAACTTCCAAGAAGTCCAGCAAAACCAACAGGAATACACTCTCCCTGTGTAGTTCCTGGTGTAAATCATCCACTTAGGTGACCAGTGCCATCTCTGTCCATATCCAGGCCTGAAGCCAGATTGAAATGGATCTAGGTACTCTATTTCATCAATAAACCCATTGAGCAGAAAGGCTATCACATGCTCTAAAACTTAGACAAAAATGAAATGGTTGAGACTGGTTGATGATTATCCAGAAAGATGGAACATTGCCTTGTTTTAGGCCCAATCTATACAAGCAATTTAATGCAGTTCTAAGTTAGCTTCAAATTGTGGCTGGCTAGACAACAAACACCAGCAAAAATGCACAAAAGAAAGCCCTTAATGTACAATAGTGCTCTGTGATTTGTGTAATCACCATATGGGCTTCAGACAGGTTCCAGGAAACCACTTCCTTCAATACTGATTTGAAACTGCATTAAATGGTCCTTATAGATGTGCCCTAGGTCAGCCCTCTCTAGTGTTTTAATTAAGATAGGAAGTCCAAAGATTTAGGACAGATGTAGTAGCTTTCATATCTGCAAGAACCATATCTACATCCTCAAATTGCACAAATTGAAAAGTATCTATTGTGATTGAACAAGAAGGGGCTAGAGTTACATCTATTGGGTCTGTACCAATCATAGCATCTGTCAGAGTGAATCCAAGGGATGTTATCTGCAAACTACTAGGCAAATTGTTTTCAGTGAACTGTTAAGTGATTGTGATTCTCCTCTCTTGAGTCCTTATGTAAAAGACCCCATACCATTCAAAACAGCTCTGGAAATATGTCAGTATTCAAAATGAACAGGGAGAAAACAACAATGTCAACTAAGAACTTGATGAAAGCAGAACACAAAATCTTATCTGAGAAACTCTGTTTCCAAGTTGTGCAAAAAGTTAAATATTCGGGTATTAAAAACTGTGTTTCTATAACCATAATTTCCATCAATTTGTCTAGCCATTGCTCCATTGTTGGAATTTCATCTCTTTTCCAATATTTTGCATAAACCGTCCTAGCTGCTGCAGTGAAATACATAAAAAGGACATCTGTATTTTAATCCAAATCAATCTCCTTACCTGTCAGGCTCAACAGGAAGTATTCTGGCTTTAATTGTATTTTAATAGGTACTGTTATGCAAAAATTCAATAAAAATACTTGGAAAAAATCCTCTATGTTGTTAAAGGACAATTATGATCCAACATGGAAAGTTGTTAAAAAGATCTAGATAGATGGAAGGGTCTAAAACAGGCATGGGCAAACTTTGGCCCTCCAGGTGTTTTGGACTTCTACCACAATTCCTAACAGCTGGTAGTCTAAAACACCTGGAGGGCCAAAGTTTGCTCATACCTGGTCTAAAACTATTCCTTGTGAATATATTAATGAAGTTGCTGTTTGTGTTTCAAACTTTACCAATTATCATGAACCACATTCCATTTAGATAATTGCAAAAAAACCTGTCAACATTTATCTGGCAAGGAAAGAGACCTAAGGTCAGATTTAAAGTACTACAAGAGAAGAGGAAGAATGGGTCTCCCTGGTTTGAAAACTTAGTATTAGGCATGCTATTTGACATGGCTGAAGAACTGGTTGTTCCTGAGACATGAACAAATGTTACAATTAGTAGGAGAGGGTCTGGAATTTGGGGTTCATGCTTACCATTGGTATGACAAAATAAAGGCAGAATCCAATTTTAATAAGGAGACCACTATTATGAATGCGGAATAAGTACAATAAAAGATTTTATACAAAGAGGTCATTATAGTGCTGTCCACATGAAGCTTTGTTTAGAAGGGAAATGGCCTTGAAAGATAAATGGTTGACCTATGAAGGCTTATTGTTATTGAACAATGACCAATACGTATTAAAGATGAAAGTCCCGTTATTGCTAGAGCGTTTCTCAATACAATGGTTTCCTTACAGACAAATTACAGAATGGATGAAGATGGATAAAATTGGAGGAGAAAGAGGTGAAGGATTGTATAGTTAAGTGGGCGCAAAACATTGGTAAACAAATACAGATGGAACAATGGGAAAGGGTGTGAATAGAGTAATGATTTTGGCCCAATTAAGACCCAAAATCTTGTCCTCACATTTTACTATTGTTCTATACCCAAAGTTATAATGCTCTATCTTATACTGCCCTCTGTCTCTACTGCTGCCATATGACCTATGTACTTTATCCATCAGCCCTATCCTTACAATTGTTTTTGCACCAGTCCGCCCACCTGTGCCCAGAAATTGATCATGATCACAGAGCTCATTGTTTATTCGTTTGATGTTTTGGTTTTATATTTTGTTATAATGTTGTTTTAGTCTGTTTTATGTTGGTGTTTACAGATGTCTCTACTCTACGTAAAGAGTAGAGACATCGGACTGGCAACAAAGATCCGCCTAGTCAAAGCCATGGTATTCCCTGTAGTAACCTACAGATGTGAGAGCTGGACCTTAGGGAAGGCTGAGCGAAGGAAGATCGATGCTTTTGAACTGTGGTGTTGGAGGAAAGTTCTGAGAGTGCCTTGGACTGTGAGAAGATCCAACCAGTCCATCCTCCAGGAAATAAAGCCCGACTGCTCACTGGAGGGAAAGATACTAGAGACAAAGTTGAAGTCCTTTGGCCACATCATGAGGAGACAGCAAAGCCTAGAGAAGACAATGATGCTGGGGAAAGTGGAAGGCAAAAGGAAGAGGGGCCGACCAAGGGCAAGATGGATGGATGGCATCCTTGAAGTGACTGGACTGACCTTGAAGGAGCTGGGGGTGGTGACGGCCGACAGGGAGCTCTGGCGTGGGCTGGTCCATGAGGTCACGAAGAGTTGGAGACAACTGAACGAATGAACAACAACATGTTGGTGTTTATATATTTTAATATGCTATTTTTTAGCCATGTTGATTGGGCTCGTCCCCATGTAAGCCATCCTGAGTCCCTTCAGGGAGCTGGAGACAGAGTACAACAATAAAGTTGTTGTTTTTCTTGTTTTTGTTGTTGATGATATTATTATATTAATAATTTTAAATAATTTTTATAAGATGATGGACAGATGGTATTTAACACCAGAAAGGCTTTCTAAGATGTATAAAAGTAGCTCTAGTGATTGCTGGAAATTTGGGGAAAATGTTGGTACATTTTATCATACATGGTGGTCCTTTAAAATGTCCCAGAAATATTGGATGCAAATACATCTGTTACTCAAAGAAATTGTTAAACTTACATTTGTGATTAGTTCTATTTGCTATATGATCAACTTGATAGAAAATGTGGACCGACTAATGTTATATATGACTATGGCAGCAAGAATAAGCTATGCACAGAGATGGAAAGAATCAACTACCCTGATGCAATAAGACTGGCTTTCGAAGATATGTCAACTAGCAGAAACTGACAAACTCACAATGCTGATTAAGGAGAAATTTCTAATCAATTTCAAGAAAGATGTTTCAATAAAGATGGAGTTAAACATCCATTATTGATTTTTTTGAATTAGAAGAGTGTCATGGTGAAAGAATGGATTAACGGTCTTTCTTCATTTAATGGGAGTGGGAAATTGAGACACTAAAACCATCAGGCAGAGAGTGTATAGCCCTTAGACTAGGTGCTGTAGATCTGTATGTAGTTAATGTTTAGTGATGCGAGGTTCTAGTGGTTGTAACAGTAATATGTTTTACATATTAAGCAAAAATATTTCTATTGGTTTTTTATTTGTATTTTGTCTTATGATTTATATTCTTGCTTTTTGTCTGTTTGTAGTTTGGTGTTTTCTGAATAAAATTATCAATAATAATAATAATAATAATAAAGATATTTAATAATATTTAACAGTATTTAATAATAGCACAAAATATGAATTCTTATAATCCATTCATTGGATCTCTTCAAGGTGGAGACAATGCAAGGAAGGGGAAGATTGCCAAAAAATTTAACCATTTCTTATTAGATTTTTCTCCTCAGCCGCAAAAAGTGCATCTTCATCAGGGATGTCAAACTCATTTTCACTGAGGTTCATATGAGCCTTATGGTTGTCTTCAAAGGGCCAATTAATCCGTAAACATAGAAGTCAAGAAGGCCAATTTTTTTTACAATTTTTTTTTACAAAGTGAACAAAACAAACATTTGTTTTGTTTGTTTACAAAGTGGTCAGTGCTTTTTAATCCCCCCCCCCCCCAGTTTGGGTCCCCAGATATTATTGCATTTACTCGAGTATAATGCACCATCTAATATAATTTACAACTCAATTTTGAGGAGTTGCATTACAAAAAAAGAGAAGATTTTATGTCGAACGTAGTGTGTGTGTCAGTAAAAAAAAAAAAACTGATGGGAAGCTGCGCCCCTGCATCAGGCCTGGTAAGAAGCTGGTAGTAGCCATAAAAAGACCAAGGACATCAATCTGGTCTTCCCACCTGCATTTTCAAGGCCACTATCAGCTTTCCACTAGCCTTTTCATAGCCTCCGGTACTGCCCCTTTTTATGTCCCCAACTGGGATCTCTTGACCAACAGTGCAGATGGGTTTAGGTGTGTGATTCTAATGCACCATCAAATCTAATGCACATCTCAATTTTAGCTATGTAATTTAGCCAAAAAAATGTGAGCATTAGACTCAAGTAAATATAGTTACTCTTAATTATGCTTTCCTTTTTACCCGTGACTTCCTCTTGTTGTATATGCCTTTGTTGTGATATTGTTGTTGTATGCCAATAAAGGGTTTGTGTTTGTGTTTCTGTGTGTGTATTGAATGATAACTCTTATCACTTTTGATTATCCACCATTGGGCATAACAGGAATTGTAACCCAACAGCACTTTTAGCTCTGAGAAAAGGTTAAAGGACATTTTAAAGTCAGACATCATGTCTATAAGTCTTATATCTCAATTCAAACCCCACTATCCCAATGAAATAGAACAAATTGCATCCTTCAAGAGGTTACTGTATTGAACTTCCATCAGATCTAACCATGATGTTTCATGATGAGGAATGTAGGAGCTACAGTCCAGCATCTGGAGGGTCACATAAAATGATATGATAGGCCAGATTTGGCCTGTGGGCCTTGAGACATATATGATCTACATACACTGTAGAATTCATTCTTCTTTACAAGAGTATCATGACTCAATGCTATGGCATCTCGAGAGTTGCCATTTTGTAGGCTAATAGTTTTAGCATACGCACGCACACACACAAGACATTGAGAGCAAGATGAAGCCTAAATTCATTGTCCAAATTGCCATGGTCACACTGAAAGAATTTTACAATTCATTCAGCAATAAACACCAACCAGAATTCCAGTCCAAAGTCATCAAAGCCCATAGTCTGAAAACAGCAGAGGCAGAAGTCCAAGTCAGAATCCAAAATCCAGCAGTCCAAGGTACAGTCCTGAATCAATAGAGCTGATAACCCAGTGTCCAGATTCACATCATGAAGCAAAGACATTGCCTCTTTCAACATGACTGAAACCTTGAGAACCCTTTATCCTATGTTCACAGGTATTGCCTATCTAATGCCTGTCTCTGCTAATTGGGCAGACCCATGGGTTGCAGCATGCTCTCATCTGTATTCTAAAAGGGACCGTGCATTTAACCCTTCATCAGCTTGCCCTGATGTCCTTCTTGTTCCACCTGCTGGGAAGTTGTAATTACTGCTGAAGGTTCCTCTTCTGTAATAACTAAGRCTGGATCCAGACAGGCCTTTATCCCAGGAGAATCCGCGTTGTAAAAACATGGATTTTCCCGGGGGGGGGGGGGGCTTTCCCCAGGAAGATAGTACAGAAATTTGAGATGTTAATAACAGAGAACTTATCAAAATTGTGCACTTCTAAATAAGTCACTGAGAAAATGGTTCAGATAAATTGGCACTTCTGTTCAGAAATCTTGAAGTGATTACAAATAAACATGAACAGAAGAACCCTAAAATACGATGGGATCGCAAATCTATAACAAGACTTAGAAAACATCCAGGACAGAGTCATGTTGATTGATTTAAAGCTAAAGCAAACACAAACCAGACTGAGATGGTCCCTGAGGAGCTGATGGGAATTTAAACAGAATTTTGCATCCTTTTGCAGTCCTGACAAACAGGTTTTTTTTTCAACTTCTGGATAAGCAAATCGAAGCAATATATAGATAAAACTCTCCTTATACAGAGAGGAAAAATACTACCAAGAGATATAGCACTGTGTCCAGTTCTGGGAACCACATTTCAAGAAAAATATTGACAAACTGGAATATCTCCAGAGAAGGGTGAAAAAAGTGTTTGAAGTTTTGGAAGCCATGGTCTATGAGGAATGGCTGAGGGAGCTGAGTATATTAGTTGGAGAAGAGAAGGTTGAGAGCGAAATGATAGCCATGTTTAAATATTTGTAAGAATGTAATATGGAGGAGGAGGTGGACTTGTCTGCTGCTGCTCTAGAGCACAGAACACAGAGAAATTGATTCAAATGACAGGAAAAGAGGTTCCACCTAAAATTAAAATGAGAGAAGCCTAGCATCTGTTTATCTATTGTCTGCCTTTGTTGTTAATTGTATAACAGCAATGAATGTTTGCCATATTTGTATTCTGTAATCCACTCTGAGTCCCTCGGGGAGATAGAGAGGAATATAAATAGTGTATATTTATTATTATTATTATTATTATTATTATTATTATTATTATTGATTTTTCTCTTATCTAGATATCACATATTGTACAATGATTAGAAATAAATGTCCAAGGCATTATGTATTTGGGCGGAGCATTATTTATATATTTATGTGTCAGTTGGTCTCCACTGACACATCTTTCCCAGCACATCCCTCAATAGACATTCCTTCTAGATTAGTACTTACAGTCATGGTGGTGAAAGTGATTCAAATAATTGTCCCATTTTTTTCACTGTATATTTTTGGAAGTCTGAAAAGAGAAATTAGTGTCCTTAGATTGACTGTTGTGTATGCAATTTATACATATAATTCAGCATGTCTAATACAGTAAAAGATGTGGACTATCTTACAAACCTCTCATTCCCTTATTCTGTCCAAATGCAAAAGAAGATGAACAGTTTAATATTGTGTAGAAGGGGGTGTTTCATCAAGTATATGTTGATGAACACTACGGTTGTGCATTCAGGGTAAACCTTGATCCGTTTCATGTCCTGGCTTTTGGTGGGTGCTGTTTTTTGGAGCCTCCTGATATCAGGAGGGCATATAGCTATTTTCACTCTGGGGTGCCATAAGATCCATTTTCTATTGACCCATTATGTGGGGGGGGGGGCGATTTCCACGCAGACTCCCCTTCCCGGCACATGCTTTAGAGAGGCTTCTTCTTACCTCCCAGTGCCTACAGCTGAGCACCACCTCTAGAGTAAGGCGCGCACACTTTCTGGGCTTGCACACGACACACGCACTCTTTTTCCAAGGCAAGGAGGCAAGTTCGGGGAGGTGTTTGACTGTCAGCACATGCACTTTCTTTCCAGGGATACACCACGCCAGCCACTCACTTTCCAAGACATTTTAAGGAGGTTTCCCCTACTTCCATGTAAGGAAGAACAATGACTTCTGGAAAAGGAGAGTAGTTTTCAGGGAGTGAGGGTTTACTTTTTGTTTGCTGGAAGATTAATAAAAAAGATTAAACTGTGATGCCAAAAAGCAGGCCAGGAACCAAGACCCACTCCTGCTTGCTTTCGTGTTGAGCTGATTTTTATACTGGAAGCGGCCTTCCCGTTCTGTGCTCCCGAAGTACCAAAACAAAAGAAACAAAGGAAATAGGAGGAACTAATTCTGTGCACAACTCTAATGAATACACAATTCCTTTTGCATGTTGCTATTTCAACTGAGAACCATATGAACGGGTAAGTGCTGTGGTGGTTTCTCAATAGTGAAAGTACCATTGTCTGCTTTTACTCAGAAGCACCTTTGCTACTACTGTTTCTATGTTCTTAGTCCAAAATCTGATATTCAGAACAGGTTCTAGGCCAAAAGCCAAAGCCTGGCTCAAATTAACTGCTATCTGTGAAGCTTTATTTATAATTACAACCAGCTTGCTGCTATTCAGTCTAGCTCCTCAGTTGCTGGCTGAGCTTTACACCTGCTGCTGCCACAAATATGTCACTTCTTTTCTCAGTTACTTTGCAGTTCTGCCCAGAGTAAAATTGTTATAACTGACCAGAAAATAAGTCCCAATTCCTTGCTGTTCAGAGGTCACGACAAGGTTAAAGGGACTCCTCAGCATTTTCCCTTGCTGATCAGTTACAGTATAGTTTTTGGCTTCATTATCTATGTTATTTATTTATTTATTTATTTATTTACTTGTATGGCGCTTTTCTCACACCAGCGGGGAAGTCAAAGCGGTTTCCAACATAATTATGGCAAAATTTAATGCCCCACATGCAGAAACCTAACATAACGATAATAGCATACAATTATAAATTAAATCATAAAACACCACATCATTTAACATTAAAACTTGGAATTAAAAACATATCAATATAAACATTAAAATCACACAATCCAACAATCGTAGTCCAGGCCATTCAAAATGTCATATCTATTGCACATAATCCCTGATCATTCCTAGTTCTTCTTACTGCTCAAAGGCTTGGTCCCATAGCCAAGTTTTTACTTTTCTTTTGAAGGCTAGGAGGGAGGACGTTGATCAAATTTCATTGGGGAGGGAGTTCCATTGCTGAGGAGCCACCACTGAGAAGGTCCTGTCTCTCGTCCCCACCAATTGCACTTGCAAGTGAGGTGGAACTGAGAGCAGCCTCCCCCCGATGATCTTAACCTCAGAGATGGTTCATAGAGGAAGATATGTTTGGACAGGTAAGTTGGGCCGGAATCGTTTAGGGCTTCACAGGCTTAAGTGAGTACTTTGAATTGTGCTTGGTAACAGACTGGCAGCCGGTGGAGCTGTCATAACAGGTGGGTTGTATGCTCCCTGTACCCCACTCCAGTGAGTAGTCTGGCTGCCGCCTGTTGGACCAATTGAAGCTTCGGAACAGTCTTCAAAGGCAAACCCACATTGAGCGCGTTAGTTAGAGAAAGAAAAAAAAAGATATGAATTTGGTAATCAGATAACCACACAAATTCAGTTTTCTTCTGTAAGTATGTGGACTAAAAATTATTTCTATTAAAATGTATTTTTATTTTGTTTTTAAAAATTCTATCCAGCCGGTAAATGCTATTATGGCAAAGGACACAATCATAAACTTCCCAAAAAATCCTTTTTCACAAAAAGCAACACTTTAATAAGAATAACAAAATACAAGCAAAACAAAAATAGCAAAATAAATAAATACATAATGATAAAACAACAAAGGGAAATCACAAAAAGAAGAAACTGAATGCACTATGAATATTAAAAAGTTCTTTGTAGTCTGAGGGAAGTTATCAAATAAACAGAGATTGTGTAAACATTTTATACAGTTTCCTTTAAAAAAAACCAAGGGTCAAGGCTAGAATATGCAGCAGATCTCCTAAAAGGGTGCCCTTCCACACAGCCATATAACCCAGAATATCAAGGCAGAAAATCCCACAGTATCTGCTTTGAACTGGGTTATCTGAATCCACGCTGCCATATATTCCAGTTCAGAGCAGATAATGTGGGATTTTATTCAGCTGCGTGGAAGCGGCCTGGTTTAAGGATAGATGTTTATTATCTCCATCAGATATGCAAGACTTTTATGTTAAAAATGACAGATTAGTTCCATTATTTCCTTGTCTTTGTTTGTTGTTTATTCATTCAGTCAGTTCCGACTCTTCGTGACCTCATGGACCAGCTAATGTCAGAGCTCCCTGTCGGCCGTCGCCACCCTCAGCTCTTTCAAGGTCAAGCCAGTCACTTCAAGGATATCATCCATTCATCTTGCCCTTGGTCGGCCCCTCTTCCTTTTTCCTTCCATTTTTCCCAGCATCATTGTCTTTGCCAAGCTTTCCTGTCTTCTCATGATGTGGCCAAAGTTTGTTGTTGTTCATTCGTTCAGTCGCTTTCGACTCTTTGTGACCTCATGGACCATCCCACACCAGAGCGCCCTGTCGGCCGTCACCTCCCCCTGTTCCTTCAGAGTCAAGCCAGTCACTTCAAGGATATCATCCATTCATCTTGCCCTTGGTCGGCCCCTCTTCCTTTTTCCTTCCATTTCCCCCAGCATCATTGTTTTCTCTGAGCTTTCCTTGCTTCTTATGATGTGGCCAAAGTACTTTGCCTTTAATATCCTTCCCTCTAGTGAGCAGTCAGTCATTATTTCCGGGAATATGGACTGGTTTGATCTTTTTGTGATCCAAGGCACTCTCAGAATTTTCCTTCAACAACAAAGTTCAAAAGCGCCTATCTTACTTTGCTCAGCCTTCCTCATGGGAATTTTTAAAACTGTCTCTAAAAACCAGGTTTTGCTTACAACTAGTGTATTTTTAGTCATTTACTTTAAATTGATTAATTACAGCCTTCTAAAACCATTCTCTAAGCAGAGGATTCAAGTTGGCTTTTAAATTCTTTCACTCCTCCCTCCTGTAGACTTTAAATGCCATATCTTTTTAATTGTAAGGCACTGTGGGTTGTAAAGACACACCCTAATTTCAGAACAATGGCTGCCAACAAAAAAAAAACATAAAATACATCTGTAATTCTAAGATTTACCCTATTATTAGTGATGTTTATACAGGAAAAAATGCATTTTAGGCCCCTTCTACACTGACATATAGAATCCAGATTATCTGCTTTGAAAGAAATTATATGGCAGTGTCGAAGGGCTTTAGAATGAAAGAAATACAGTAATAGCACTTTGCCAATTGTCAGTTTATCTTAATAGAAGCCAAATTGAAATGAATACCTTGACATCATGCCACAGAAATAACCATACATGTTTGTGTATAAGTCAGCCTCATGTATAAGCAGGTTTGCAGGGGGCAAAATTATGGATTTTGCTGACACTTGCGGATAAGGGTGACTCCAAGGAGAAGGGAAAGCTGTCTCGGTACGTTTCTGTCCATGGCCACTTTGTTATGCATTCAAAATGTGTGTGTGTGTGTGTGTGTGTTTGTGTGTGTATATATATACACACACACATTCCTATTGATTATTTCCAATTTTTACAACACAAAAAATAATGAGGAAAGTTAAATAGTTACAGATATTAAGTATGTTGCAAAAAAGGGAGGGAGGGAGTTGAAGAGAGGGAGAAGAGACAATTGTCCGTGTACAAAGTTATTATTCATACATCTATTTGTTCATATCAATTACAATTACAAGAATTATAATTGTAATTCAAAGGGTATTTTATTGCTCTGCTCAGTGAAGGGGATGCTTACTTTTTTATAAGAGTTAATATTGTACCTTAACTTTTATATATACAAAAGGAGGCATTCACTGGCTTAAACTTGAGAGTTTAGTCCATCTCAGGACAACCTAAAAGAAACATCAATTTTCTCAATTCTTTCAGTGCTCCTTCAAGAGAAAGTGCTAGGCAGCAGCATCACAATGCAACATACTGCATGGATCTCCTCGTGTACCACAATCCCTATACAGTGTTCCCTCACTTTTCGTGGGTGTTATGTTCCAGGACCACCCGTGATAAATGAAAATTCGCAAAGTAGAGATGCTTCTGCCTTTGCGACCCTCTTTTGCTCGCTCACCCACCCATCCTCCCTCACTCGCTACTCACCGGGCCAAGTCCTGGTTCTGCCACCGGGACCCGGACTGGTGAGTAGTGAGGGAGAGCGGGTGAGCAAGCGTGAAAGGGAGGACCGCAAAGGCACAAGCAGCGGCAGAAGCAGGAGCCTGGAAGAGATGGCCAGGCTCCTGCTTTTGCCGCCGCCGCCGCCCTTGCCGCCCTCACTCGCTCACTCACCTGCCCTCGCTCACTTGCTCACTCACCAGGCTGGGTCCCGGAAAACTGCAAAACAGTGAGTCCGCAAAAA